CCAGCGCTGTTGCGCTCAAACATTTCCTTTCTTATCTCAGCCAGACCAAAGTCATGTTTTTGCTACAAATGGCTGCAGAACGAGCGGCGCGGGGGAGATAACCGAAGGCAGCTGGCACCGGGGACTGGAGACTTTTCGGGCGGGGGCGGGCGGCGAGAGCGGGGAGCCGGCGGCGCCGGGGCGATGGTGGGCTGGGCAGAGGGACGTATCTAAAACTGCGGGGCCCCCATCGCCTGGCCGGGATGCCCCAGGGAAGAAGCATCAGCCACTCGCCTGCTCCCCCTGCCCCAACTCCCCTTCGTAGCAATGAGTAAAAAAGGCTGAACTGCATGGAAAGGAGCAATGAGTAAAAGCAAAAGCAGATGGTAGAAAACTTGCAGGCAGCACTGAACTCAGGATCTCCTGAGATCAGCAGAAGGCGTGAGAGCAGGTATGATCGCCCCATCATCCCCGTCGCCGGCGGGAGCAGGGCCCGGTTTCTCTGCGAACGTGTGCAAAGGGAGCGCGCGATGCCCGGACCTACCCAGAGCTGCGCTCTAAGCTGCAGCCTGTTGCTTCTGCAAATATAAAAAGAACATCTTTGAAGGTGGAATTGAAACTTGGACATTAAAAGAAATTCCTGCAGGAGGAAAACTCAACAAACGGCGTCCCTTGGCTGAGGGCAAAATTTGTACTCGCAAGATTTTTTTAAGGGCTTTTGCGCTTCGCAGCAGTAGGAGCTGCGTTAGCAGCTTCCCAGGCTCTTCCAGCGCACTGGGTAAAGTTTAGGATACAAGAGACCTTTTCATCCTGGATTTGCAAGGCGGCTTTTGCGCAAGCAGTTGGCATTTTGTGCAAGCAGTTGGCATTTTGTGCCTCAGTTTCCCCTTCTCTTTTCGGTCTCCACTCGGACCGTGCCTGTTCCTCTCAATATCCAGCTAATAGCACAGCTCTTCGGGGGGGTTTTGCCAGCTGCGTGTCTATTAGGTAGCAGGAAAAAAAACCATGTAACTGACGATCTGCTGGCTTTTGAGAATCTTGACTTGTTTTTAAAACAATCAGTGTGAATCTCTCGGCTGGAAAACAGCATTTTCTTTCCCTGTGATTCTGACCCTTTTCCAGCTGGCAAACGCGCGCCTCCATCTCGACTCTTTGTTTAAACAACACGAAATACCAATGTGGTTTCCTTTCATTCCTTTTTCTGCCTTGCACTCGGGCTACCTGCTTGTTTTTAAGCACCCGAGTGCCCCAGCTGGCTGCGGGGTGAGGGCTGTGCCCCCGCACCGTCCCCGCTGCCGGGGCCGAACCAGCGGCAGCCTTCCCGGCGGGGGTTCGCTGCCCGGGACCCGCGC